ACAGTGTTTGACATGTGGTAAGCCCTCAACAAATGAGAGTTCTTATTAATATTGTATGTTGTTTTGCTTCACTGGACATTAGAACGGGGTAAGTGGGACTGGATTACTAGTTATCATGAATTCCAAATCGAGACTTTAATTTCATATATAAGGAAACAGGGATCCAGTGAAGGTTTTTGTAGGAGCAATGGTCTGATAAAGCGGTCTTTAAGAAAGGTCCAGCCTGTGGAGCATAATACACTGTAAGGAGAAATGCTGGAGTAGAGTGGCCATCTAAAAGGCTCTGTGATGACCCAGGGCTGGCGCCATACATCTCCAGAGGAGAACAGTAAGAATGGCAAAAGCAAGGCAAGTATTGTTACAAGAACGTGGTCAATGGAGGAGGAGAGGGAAGAAGGGAGGGGAGAGGAGAGAAAGACAGAAGACAGTAGAAAGGGAAGGAGGGAAGGAAGGAAGAAGGGAAGGAAGGAGGGAAGGAAAAAGGAAGCAAGGAAGAAGGAAGGGGAAGTGGGGAAGGAGGGAAGGAGGGAGGGCGGGCTGTTGTAGGTGACTGACTAGAAAGACTGATCATGAGTCAAAAATGAATCCAGAGCGGTCATCTGACAAATTGAATCTTCTGTCTCTCAGGTGGTCACATTAATGCAAAGGTAGCCAGAATGACACACAGGCTAGTCATCATTCTAACTAGACAGTCTTTCGGGAATCTTTAGGCCTGACTTCTAGAGTCTAAAGGTGTCCTGATGTCCACTCATTCGCTTCATTTAGCGAGTGTTTATTGGATACCCACTACACTACACACACACAAACACACACACACACTCCAGAGGCACTGTGCTAGGCTCCGGAGAACAACAGAAAACAAAGCAGTGCTCTTTTGGAGCTTACAATCTAGCAAGGTGAATAGCTATATAATAATTGATTACGAAGTAATTAATTCCAGTTGTGGTATGTATTACACATGGCATCCATAAACGAATCCAAATCTCTCCGGAAAAGCTTCTAAACAGAACATCTCTCATGACATCTGCATACAAGACGTCTGACATAATTTCCAGAAAAAATCTGAGTTCTAGAATCAGGGAGGCAAGCTGAGTGGATTTTACCTAAGAGCATGGCAGTGCCTCTTTTAAGCAGAAGTCTGAATTTAAACTGTGAATCATCTCATTAAAACTGTGAAATCTCAGCTGAAATGGGAAACAGAATGGTGGGGAGGGCAGGGAATCACAGGGACCCTAGAATGGGAAAGAAGGCATTGAAATATTCTTTGCAATACAACTGTTCCACGTTTTGGTCAATCAAGTGACTTATAATCACTTCTCATAATCCCAGCACTTTGGGAAGCCGAGGAGGGTGGATCACGAGGTCAGGAGTTTGAGACCAGCCTGCCCAACATGGTGAAACACCATCTCTACTAAAAATACAAAAATTAGCTGGGCATGGTGGTGGTTGCCTGTAATCCCATCTACTCAGGAGGCCGAGGCAGGAGAATTATTTGAACCTGGGAGGCAGAGGTTGCAGTGAGCCAATTGCACCACTGCAATCCAGTCTGGGCAACACAAGAGACTGTCTCAAAAAAATAAAATAAATAAGATTATGCAAAATTCACAGTGGGAAATACCAGACCTTCACCTCCCCTTCCCTTCCCTCCTTGTGAAGGGAAAGCATCAGTGCTTTATCATAATGCCTGTTTCCACTGAGCCAGGACTGCGCCTTCTTGGACTTCACATCAAAGCACTCCAGGCAGCCATAAGCAATCGATTTGTGTAAGCAGGAGAGACAAAACTTATTTGAAATTCAGTTATTAAAGTCCATTCTTTTTTATTATTATACTTTAAGTTCTGGGATACATGTGCAGAACGTGCAGGTTTGTTACATAGGTATACACGTGCCATGGTGGTTTGCTGCACCTATCGACCCGTCATCTACATTAGGTATTTCTCCTGATGCTGTCCCTCCCCTTGCCCCCCACCCTCTGACAGGCCCCCAGGGTGTGATGTTCCCCTCCCTGTGCCCAAATGTTTTCACTGTTCAACTCCCACTTATGAGTGAGAACATGCGGTGTTTGGCTTTTTGTTCCTGTGTTAGTTTGCTGAGAATGATGGTTTCCAGCTTCATCCATGTCCCTGCAAAGGACATGAACTCATCCTTTTGCATGGCTGCATAGTATTCCAGGTGTATATGTGCCACATTTTCTTTCTCTACTTTATCATTGATGGGCATTTGGGTTGGTTCCAAGTCTTTGCTATTGTGAACAGTGCTACAACAAATAAACAGGTTCATGTGTCTTTATAGTAGAATGATTTATAGTCCTTTGGGTATACACCCAGTAATGGGATTGCTGGGTTAGATGGTATTTCTGGTACTAGATCCTCGAGGAATTGCCACACTGTCTTCCAAAATGGTTGAACTAATTTACACTCCACCAACGGTGTAAAAGCATTCCTATTTCTCCACATCCTCTCCAGCATCTGTTGTTTCCTGACTTTTTCATGATAACCATTCTAACTGGCGTGAGATGGTAACTCATTGTGATTTTGATTTGCATTTCTCTAATGACCAGTAATAATGCCCTTTTTTTCATATGTTTGTTGGTCACATGTCTTCTTTTGAAAAGCGTCTGTTCATATCCTTCACCCACTTTTTGATAGGTTTTTTAATTCTTGTAAATTTGTTTAAGTTTTTGTAGATTCTAGAAATTAGCCCTTTGTCAGGTGGATAGCTTGCAAAAATTTTCTCCCATTCTCTAGGTTGCCAGTTCACTCTGATGGTAGCTTATTTTGCTGTGCAGAAGCTCTTTAGTTTAATTAGATCCCCTTTGTCAATTCTAGCTTTTGTTGCCATTGCTTTTGGTGTTTTAGGCATGAATTCTTTGCCCATGCCTATGTCTTGAATGGTATTGCCTAGGTTTTCTTCTAGGGTTTTTATGGTTTTAGGTATTACATTTAAATCTTGAATCCATCCTGAGTTAATTTTTGTGTAAGGTATAAGGAAGGGGTCCAGCTTCAGTTTTCTGCATATGGCTAGCCAGTTTTCCCTACACAATTGATTAAATAGGGAATTCTTTCCCCATTGCTTTTTTTTGTCAGGTTTGTCAAAGATCAGATAGTTGTAGATGTGTGGTGTTCTTTCTGAGGCCTCTTTCTGTACAACTGTCTCTATATCTGTTTTGGCACTGGTATCATACTGCTTTGTTTACTGTAGCCTTGTAGTGTAGTTTGAAGTCAGGTAGCATGATGCCTCCAGCTTTGTTCTTTTTGCTTAGGATTGTCTTGGCTATACAGGCTCTTTTTTGGTTCTATATGAAATTTAAAGTAGTTTTTTCTAGTTCTGTGAAGAAAGTCAATGATAGGTTGATGTGGATAGCATTGAATCTATAAATTGCTTTGGGCAGTATGGCCATTTTCACAATTTTGATTCTTCCTATCCATGAGCATGGAATGTTTTTCCATTTGTTTGTGTTCTCTTATTTCCTTGAGCAGCGGTTTGAAGTTCTCCTTGAAGAGGTCCTTCACATCCCTTGTATGTTATATTCCTAGGTATTTTATTCTCTTTGCAGCAATTGTGAATGGACGTTTGCTAATGATTTGGCTCTTCAGTTGTCTATTATTGGTATATAAAAATGCTTGTAATTTTTGCACATTGACTTTGTATCCTGAGACTTTGCTGAATTTGGTTATCAGTTTAAGGAGTTTTTGAGGTGAGTCAATGGGGTTTTCCAAATATCCAATTATGTCATCGGCAAACAGATAATTTGACTTCCTCTCTTCCTATTTGAATACTCTTTATTTCTTTTTCTTGCCTGATTGCCCTGGCCAGAACTTCAAATACTATTTTGAATAGGAATGCTAAGAAAGGGTATCCCTGTCTTCTGCTGGTTTTCAAAGGGAGTGCTTCCAGCTTTTACCCATTCTGTATGATATTGGCTGTGGGTTTGTCATAAATAGTTCTTATCATTTTGAGATATGTTCCACCAATACCTAGTTTATTGAGTGTCTTCAGCATAAAGGGGTGTTAAATTTTATTGAAGACCTTTCTGCATCTATTGAGATAATCATGTGTTTTTTGTCTTTGGTCATGTTATGTGATGGATTACGTTTATTGACTTGTGTATGATGAACCAGCCTTGCATCCCAAGGATGAAGGCAACTTGATTGTGGTGGATGAGCTTTTTGAAGTGCTGCTAGATTCAGTTTGCCAGTATTTTATTGAAGATTTTTGCATTGATATTCATCAGGGATATTGGCCTGAAATTTTCTTCTTTTATTGTGTTTCTGCCAGGTTTTGTTATCAGGATGATGCTGGCCTCATAAAATGAGTCAGGGAGGAGTACCTCTTTTTCTGTTGTTTGGAATAGTTTCAGAAGGAATGGTACCAGCTCCTCTTTGCATGTTTCATAGAATTCAGCTGTGAATCCACCTGGTCCTGGGCATTTTTTGGTTGGTAAGCTATTAATTACTGCCTCAATTTCAGAACTTGTTATTGGTCTTTTCAGAGATTTGACTTCTTCCTGACTTAGTCTTGGGAGGGTGTATGTGTCCAGGAATTTATCCATATTCTTTTAGATTTTCTAGTTTATCTGCATAGAGGTGTTTATAGTATTCTCTGATGGGTAGTTTGTATTCCTGTGGGATCAGTGGTGATATTCCCTTCATCATTTTTTATTGTGTCTATTTGATTCTTCTCGCTTTTCTTCTTTATTAGTCTGGCTAGCAGCCTATCTATTTTGTTAATATTTTCAAAAAATCAGCTCCTGGAATCCTTGATTTTCTGAAGGGATTTTTGTGTCTCTATCTCCTTCAGCTCTGCTCTAACCTTAGTTATTTCTTGTCTTCTGCTAGCTTTTGAATTTGTTTGCTCTTGCTTTTCTATTCCTTTTAATTGTGATGTTAGGGTGTCAATTTTAGATCATTCCCGCTTTCTCCTGTGGGCATTTAGTGCTATAAATTTCCCTCTAAAAACTGCTTTAGCTGTGTCCCAGAGATTCTGGTACATTGTGTCTTTGTTCTCATCAGTTTCAAAGAACTTATTTATTTCTACTTTAATTTCATTATTTACCCAGTAGTCATTCAGGAGCAGGCTGTTCAGTTTCCATGTAGTTGTGCAGTTTTGAGTGAGTTCCTTTTTCCTGAGTTCTAATTTGATTGTGCTGTGGTCTCAGAGGCTGTTTTTTATAATTTCTGTTCTTTTACATTTGCTAAGCAGTGTTTTATTTCCAGTTATGTGGTCAATTTTAGAATAAGAGCTATGTGGTGCTGAGAAGAATGTATATTCTGTTGATTTCAGGTGGAGAGTTCTATAGACATCTATCACGTCTGCTTGGTCCAGAACTGAGTTCAAGTCCTGAATATCCTTGTTAATTTTTTGTGTCTTTGATCTAATCTTGACAGTAGGGTGTTAAAGTCACCCACTATTACTGCATGGGAGTCTAAGTCTCTCTTTGTAGGTCTCTAAGAACTTGCTTTATGAATCTGAGTGCTCCTGTATGGGATGAATATATATTTAGCCTGATCAGCTCTTCTTGTTGCATTGATCCCTTAACCATTATGTAATGACCTTCTTTGACTTTTCTGATCTTTGTTGGTTTAAAGTCTGGTTTATCAGAGACTATGATTGCAATCCCTGCTTTTTTTTTTTTTTTTCTTTTCATTTGCTTGGTAAATCTTTCTCCATCTTTTTATTTTGAGCCTATGTGTGTCTTTGCACAAGAGATGGGTCTCCTAAATACAACACACCTATGGGTGTTGACTCTTCTTATCCAACTTGCCAGTCTGTGCCTTTAATTGGGCATTTAGCCTGTTTACATTTAAGGTTGATATTGTTATATGTGAATTTGATCCTGTCATTATGATGCTGGCTTGTTATTTTGCCCATTCATTGATGCAGTTTCTTCATAGTGTCAATGGTCTTTACATTTTGGGTTGTTTTTGCAGTGGCTGGTATCAGGTTTTCCTGTCTATATTTAATGTTTCCTTCAGGAGCTTTTGGTAAGGCAAGCCTGGTGTTGACAAAAATCCCTCAGCATTTGCTTGTCTGTAAAGGATTTTATTTCTCCTTCACTTATGAAGCTTAATTTGGCTGGATATGAAATTCTGGGTTGAAAATTCTTTTCTTTAAGAATGTTGAATATTGGCCCCCACTCTCTTCTGGCTCATAGGGTTTTTGCAGAGAGATCCACTGTTAGTCTGATGGGCTTCCCATTTGTGGGTAACCTGACCTTTCTCTCTGGCTGCCCTTAACACTTTTTCCTTCATTTCAACCCTGGTAAATCTGACAATTACATATCTTGGGGTTGCTCTTCTTGAGGAGTATCTTTGTGGTTTCTCTATATTTCCTGAATTTGAATGTTGGCCTGTCTTGTTAGGTTGGGGAAATTCTCCTAAATAATATCTCCTAGTTTCCAACTTAGTTCCATTCTCCCCTTCACTTCCAGGTACACCAGTCAAATGTAGGTTTGGTCTTTTCACATAGTCCCACATTTCTTGTAGGCTTTGTTTGTTCCTTTTTATTCTTTTTTCTCTAATCTTGTCTTCGTGCTTTATTTCATTAAGTTGATCTTCAATCTCTGATATCCTTTCTTCCACTTGATCAATTCAGCTACTGATATTTCTATATGATTCACGAAGTTCTCATGCTGTGTTTTTCAGCTCCATCAAGTCATTTATGTTCTTCTCTAAACTGGTTATTCTAATTGGCAATTCCTCTAACCTTTTGTCAAGGTTCTTAGCTTCCTTGCATTGGGTTAGAACATGCTCCTTTAACTCGGAGGAGTTCGTTATTACCCACACTCTGAAGCCTACTTCTGTCAATTCACCAAACTCATTCTCCATCCAGTTTTGTTTCCTTGTTGGTGAGGAATTGTGATCCTTTTGAGCAGAATAAGCCTTCTGGTTTTTGGAATTTTCAGCCTTTTTGCACTGTTTTTTTTCTTATCTTCATGGATTTATTTACTTTTGGTCTTTGATGTTGGTGACCTTCAGATGGAGTTTTTGCTTGATCATCCTTTTTTTTTTTTTAATTATTTTTTTTTTTTTTTGGTGTTGATTCTATTGCTTTCTGTTTGTTAGTTTTCCTTCTAACAGTCAGGCCCATCTTCTTCAGGTCTGCTGGAATTTTCTGGGGGTTCACTCCAGACCCTGTTTGTCTGGGTATCACCAGTGGAGGCTGCAGAACAGCAAAGATTACTGCCTGCTCATTCCTCTGGAAGCTTCATACCAGAGGGGCACCCACCAGATGCCAGCTGGAGCTCTCTTGTATGAGGTGTCTGTCGACCACTGCTGGGAAGTGTCTCCAGTCAGGAGGCTCAGGGGTCAGGGACCCACTTAAGGAGGCCATCTGTTCCTTAGCAGAGCTCGAGCTCTGTGTTGGGAGATCCACTGCTCTCTTCAGAGCCAGCAGGCGGAATGTTTAAGTTTGCCAAAGCTGTGCCAATAGCTGCTCCTTTGCCAAGGTGCTCTGTCCCAGGGAGATGGGAGTTTTATCTATAAGCCCCTGACTGGGGCTGCTGCCTTTCTTTCAGAGATCCCCTGCCCAGAGAGGAGGAATCTAGAGAGGCAGTCTGGCTACAGCGGCTTTGTGGTGCTGTGGTGGGCTCTGCCCAGTTTGAACTTCCCAGCAGCTTTGTTTACACTATGAGGGGAAACCATCTACTCAAGCCTCAGTAATGGTGGACACCCCTCCCGCACCAAGCTCCAGCATCCCACGTCAACTTCAGACTGCTGTGATGGCAGTGAGAATTTCAAGCCAGTGGATTTTAGCTCGCTGGGCTCTGTTGGGGGCAGGGGGAGCCTGCTGAGCAAGACCACTTGACTCGCTAGCTTCAGCCCCCTTTCCAGGGGAGTAAACGGTTCTGTCTCCCTGGTGTTCCAGGCACCACTGGGGTACAAAAAAAAAACTCCTTCGACTAGTTCAGTGTCTGCCCAAATGGCTGCCCAGTTTTGTGCTTGAAACCCAGGGCCCTGGTGGTTTAGGCACCTGAGGGAATCTCCTGACCTGTGGGTTGCGAAGACCATGGGAAAAGTGTGGTATCTGGGCTGGAGAGCACTGTTCGTCACGGCACAGTCCCTCATGGCTTCCCTTAGATAGGGAAGAAGTTGCCAGACTCCCTGTGCTTCCCAGGTGAGCCTCGCCCCACCCTGCTTCTACCCGCCATCCATAGGCTGCACCCACTATCTAACCAGTCCCAGTGAGATGAACCGGCACCTCAGCTGGAAATGCAGAAATCATTCGCCTTCTGCATTGGTCTCACTGGGAGCTGCAGACTGGAGCTGTTCCTATTTGGCCATCTTGCCTGGGAACTTCCTTAAGGTCCTTTCTAATTGATGCCATGACAATCTATAATTCTGATTCAGGAGGTACACAGAGGGATGGCGGCCAACAGAAATCGTAAAGAAGTAATCATGTCTGAGCAAAGTTACATACGAAATTAAAGAGCTTGGATGAAAATTATTTCCCTCTTGTGTAGAAATGGAGGTAGAGAGAGGACAATAGAAATGCGAAGCCCCTTTTAAGAGTTCCCTCCCTAAGAAATGCCAGATACAGGTGATAGGGTGGAAGGCAGCAAACCACACTGCCACATGTATACCTATGCAACAATCTTACATGTTCTTCACATGTACCCCAAAACCTAAAATACAGTAAAAAAATAGTAAAAAAAAATTTTTTTTTAATTAAAAAAAAAAGAGTTCCCTCCCTAAATCGCTGAAGCATCCTTGCTCCATTAACAACAACCAGCTTTTGCTTTTAAAGCGCCAGCTCTCTCAGTATTTACCTCCAGCACTGCAACAGAAAAAAATTTAAGCATGTTCTGAAGAACTGGGAATGATCTCTTAAGACATGAATCCCCCATTCCTAGAGGGTGAGTGTGCTTCCTAAAAACTATTCAGGAAGCAAAAGTGACAGACTGTCACAGGAACAGAGAGATTCCAGTTTTTCCTGCATTGGGGTAGAGGGTCGGGGGGGGGGGCGGTATGTCAAAACATTGCTACATTCTCCCAAGCTGGAGCCCTCATTCCCTTCTTTACTGGGGGAGATCTGGGTTCTTCTCACACACGCTTGTCTCTGTAATGTATGGGGAGGCCCGAGAGCAGGCCAATGGCAGCTGCTGCCCAGCCAAAGGAGAGGAAGCTAGTTTACTACAGGATATAAATAGAGTGACAGAGCCCCTCGCAGAGGATGTACACCGGAACGCTTTAAAAAAAAAAAAATTGTAGCATAGGCATTATACAAGTGTACTATGTAAGGGCCAAAACTGCTTAAAATGGCTTTCAAAAACATAAGTCTGAGATTGCTTCTTGGGTGTGTTATTTTTATCTATTCCACTGGGATTAAGCATGGCCTAGAATCCCAGCTTGAAAGCGGGGAACCAAATTTGCACTAACTGCTAACTCTCTGTATCATCAGGACTCATCATCAGAAATCTGGATGTGGGCACTACTGACACAAAGGAAGCACAATTAAAGCCTGAAAGGAGACTGGTCTGCACTCTCCCAGAGCCAAATGGACCCTCCCTTGCCTCCTCCAGTCTCCAGCCCTGCTCAGCAGCTCTGCCTATGACTGACATGTGGCATTCTTGTCTTCATGGACAGAGAAGTCAAGCTCTCGATGGTTATCGACATTACAAAATGTCATGTCTGAATATGCTTCAGTGGGACCTTCCTCCCCTACTTCATTCCCTGCCTCCCGCCCCTCAGTTTATTTTAATTATGCAATGAAAACTCTCAAGTACGGAATGGCTGCCTGCTGTATCACACAAGCCCTTAATTGTACTCTGGAGTTGGATCGTGGCATTTTATCACCCTGCAATGGTAAAAGGCACATTTGCAACAGGAGTAGGTCATGGAATATTTTCTGGAAATGCCAATGGATTTCAAGGCCCTTCCTTCTGGACATTTTGATTTTTGTCTGTGCACACAGAAGAATAGTAATTTACATTCCTTCTCTTGTACGTTTTCCTGTTCTCCAGCTTATTCTTCACATTGATGAATATTAGTGACCTGATCCATAATCACTTGTCTCTTATCAATCCACAAAAGCATTTGAACAGATTTGACTTTTGTGTTGCTGTAATTCCTACACCTTGATGACATACCCATTTTTCACTCTTCTAGTTATTTTTAAATGTTTTTATTATGAGTGAGGTGTAGTGGCTCACATCTGTAACCCCAAGCACTTTGGGAGGTAAAGATGGGAGGATTGCTTGAGGCCAGGGGTTTGAGACCAGCCTGGGCAACATAGTGAGACCCCATATCTATAAAAAAAAAAAAAAAAAAAAAGTTTTAAACTTTTTAAACTTAAAAACTAAAAATAAAATACTTTCATCAGGAAAAAGAACAGATCACAGTAGACAAACTATGTTCAGGCTTTTTCCAAAAGAGGCCTCTTCAACAAGACAATTTCCTACAAAACAAAAAGGTAACCTACAGCCAGTATAGACATGGCTGGCCAAACTGGGACTTTGGTTCAGATGTCTAAATCTGCCCCTTTCAACAAATACGGGCTTTCCCATTGTATGTATTCAATAAATGTTCACAAAGTAAACCTTCTCAGTCATGAACTTTGAATGTGCTCTAAGCCATACACGCCCTACCCATATTTAACCAAGAATCCCCTGCTCTAGTTGTCTAGAGTTGTAATTCACACTAGAATAGATTCTCACCTGGTAACCACCATACCCTAGCACATTCCAGACTTCCAGGAAGAAGGGTTCATGTGTTCACACAGTTTCTAAGTCATGCACCCACAGCAGTATTCGTCACTTGACAGATTCACGTTGTATTAGTTTTAAGCAATTCCCAGTGGTGTACAGTGTTGCCTGTTCACAGATGTTTCCCTAATATTGCTAAGTAACATGAAAAGTTTCAGGCTGGCTTCCACAGAGGCAGTGGGCTGAGGAGACATGGATTACCCATGCTTTTCTATTCCCTGTCCCAAAGGTCTCTAATTAACACTGATGAAATTGGCTCCTCTTGGCACTCCTGGCTACTTCCCTTAGACGTTATTCACTCTGGGACTTGGGCAGAAACAAGTTTTATATAACAACATCATTCATTAATCCTAAGTGAATGTACCCAAGAAAAGGTACTCAGATAGGCTAAAGTCCCAGAGTCAGTAGCCAATGAAGAATAGTAACGTGTTCTTCACACTGCCATTTATTTCCCAACAAAACGTCAGTCCAGGCAAAGTTTCCACTATAGCAGTCCAAAGCTTTCCATTGGCTACTGCTGGAGTCCAGCCTTCACGGGACCAGAAACAAGTGGATTTGTGTGAAAAGTGCCCTTCCCAGTGTCTTGCACAGAAAAGGGGCTTAATAAAAGTAATTCAGAGACCTAAACAAGAAATACAAAACATCTTATGGGTAAGATTGGCCCTGTTTTGAGGACCATGCAGAAAGTCAAAGAAGTATTTCCTCAGTGGCCTCTGAGTATTTCCTCAGAAAACCTTTATCTGTGACATTTTACTCTGAGAAAGGAAAAGGCTATAAATGAGTGACAGGAACCATCTGAAATCTAACCATGGCTGAATACCACAGGCATGTGGAGAGTGTATTTGGTGGAGTTTGTCCAAAAGTCAACCCTCCCTGATCACTCTAACCCACAGTCACTCCTACCTCAAATCTCTATTCCAAGGTAGAAAAGGTGAATGTCTATAGGAACCAGGCAGGTGAGGTATTCAAATGGAAAATGCAAGCTGGGGGTACTTAGCTCTGGCCAATTGTTGCCACGTGGGAATAGCTGGCAGCCCATGGTGGTAGACCTTCTGACTTTCCAAAAGAAGATGGAAAGTCAGGTTTATATATATATGTCTCCCAATTTTTAAATACTAACTCAAACTTAGAACGATAAAAGTTCAAGCCAAGTAACATGCATCTGACTCTGGGTTGGTCTGAACACACGGTTTACCACTTTGCAATCCCTGAACTCTCTAATTCATGTGGCACTAAATCATATACTACTTGTGCAGTATTTCACTTTTCACTTTGCAAGTTGTGACTTCCAAATTGACTATAAACACTTTTGACCCTGACACACTTTTGGCTGGGTGGGCCTGTGATGCCATGCGTTTACTAAACAGTGGCTCTATTATAGATTGCCATGTTGAACAATGGCTACAGGCAGATGTAGAATTTCCCAAATGAGAGAACGCAATGGCAAAAGAGAGAACTTGGCGTCAACTTGAGTGAATGCCCCTCCTTCTCTACTCCATTCTTTTTTTCCTGGCAGGTGCACGTTCACAATGGTGATTTCTCATTTAATTGCTAAGTATTTCCATAGCACAGTAAAATCCATCATGAACCAGACACGGAGTATGCTAATTCCCCAATCTCTCTAATAATGCACAGATTCAATGGGGTCTTCTTCCCGCCAATGTGCATTCATAAATGCCATTAATAGTAATGGCAGTCAAATGCAAAATATGACTAAATAGGCCTTAGTGCATGAAATATATTCTCAACCACAAGGACAAGCTGCCTCACAGCTCACTGCCTTGTACTAAATGAGGGGCTGGTGATTCTCTGATTGGGACCAAGATAGTGATAATGACAAATAAAAAGAAAAAAAGCCAGTCCTCTTCTCTGCTTATCCACTACCAAGACTATCCCTGACTTACAGGTCAGAGACAATGAGGAGCTTTGAGGCTTGGAATCAGAGACAGGGCGCAGAAAGATGCAAACTGCCCTGTCTTGCAGGGAATTAGTGAAACACAACTAAGCCAGTTCAACACCGTGCCCTTTAGTCATCCCACCCACTAAAAGACACTGTTAAAAACCCACCAGCTTTTATTAGCAGAAACAAATGAAGTCGACTACCGAGCACTCAGGAGTTTTTCATCCTGAAAGTCCAGGATGGCTTTGGCATAATAAAGGTCATATCTCCTAACCACGGTAATGTTCACACAGCAACCTGAGCTCCAGGCAGGGCCAGGCCGGCTTCTCAGTATTCCCCCTGTAGAAGGTGTTGCCGATTAAACTATCACATTTCAAAGAACTCCTTACAGTAAATAGGAAAGAAAGGAAAAAAGAGATCCAGGGCCTTTTGTTAGTCAAAAAGCTAGGGAAAGGCGATAATTAACCCATTTTTGTAGAGAAATCATTTGGACAAAAGTCAAGGGATTTACCACCCTGTCAATTGTTAAGTCTAGATAAGGACATTATATTTCACGGCACAAAGGGTGACTGAGATGGTGAATGGAAAGTAGGCCACTACTACTACTTTACCTCGCATCTGAAAAAGGACTTTTTTTTGTCCTCCTGGTACGGAGATGGACTAAAGAATCTTCTCCCCCTTGCACTGAAAACATAACTTCAGAGCCTGGTTTTTGCATTTTGTTAAATATTCAAAGGTATTGTGCAATTAGCATGTCATTAATGAATAATTAATTACAGCTAAAGCAGCCTTCAGATTTTTGCAGCTAAATTATTTAAACAGCAAATATAACAATACAATGCAATGCTCTCATTTGGTGTTTTGTTATTGCATTATTTGAAGGGAACAGCAATATTACTTTTCATTAGTTGCAAGAATTATGTGCAACAAAAGCTGTTTTCATTTTTTTCTTACCTACAAGTTGCTTCGTGTGCCCTAAAAGGGAAAATTAATTCAATTCAGATTAGATTTCCTAAGAATTAATTAGCTGCAAATATCTGAAAACTATGGCTAGGGATATAAGGCTTAGATATCTGAACTTAAAAAAGTAAGCCTATTTAAACCTGTCCTTTAAAACAACTCCTGCACTAAAGTACCTTTATTTTAGATATTTGGTTACCACTTTTGAAAAAGGAAACTTGTTAAAAAATCCTTTTTCTTTTTTTTAAGAAAGTGAGTATTACAAAGCTCCCCCTAGCAAACAGTCAAGAGTTAAATAGAAAGTAATTTGTTGCTACTTGCAGACATACATCACTAGTAAGACATCAGTTTATATTTATAAGCTGCACATCTGGGATCAGTTGACTTATCCATCTGCTAACTACACCAGTAAACAGTATGTCTGGGACCGTCAAACCCTTGCATCCATCACAAATTCCTGCTTTAATTGTGTGTTTACGTGGCAAACCTCTGCTTAAGCATATTTGAAGACTGTTTTAAGCAGTTGTAATTGCTCCTTTCTTCTTCATATTAACTTTAACACGTTTTATTTACCATTATGACAGGCCCATACTTTTGTAAGCCTCAGAGACAGATAAATGCCGGAGATCAACATGCTGCCCAGGAAAAGGCAGTGGAGGGACAGAAACCAGAGCTTTAACCTGTCTGGTCCAGAGAGCTTGGGCCTTTTTCACAAAATCCAATGGCTTGAGTTACAAGTTCAAATCTCAGTAAGGCCAGTTTAATCCTCCACTGTCTTGAACTCAGAAAATTGACAATCATACACTTTCTTTTTGAGAAAGGAGCAGACGAGAGGGAAGGGAAGATTTGGGGGGAAGAGGCAAATCACAGTTTGGAAAGATAAGGTGCTGCCATGAGTTTTCCATCTTTTTCCTTATTTAATCTGCTGTGTAGGAGAGCTGCATGAAAGGTTGAGAGATTTATAAGGGTAGAGATTTCTCAAGCCAGTGGCAGAGGATTGGAAGTCTTCAGGAGCCCCAAAATCAAAGAGAAGTATAGCCTGTGACCTGACAATTTTTAACCCTTGGTTTCATCACTGAGTTTCATAAGCAAGCTGAAAACACAGGCTCAAAAGTAAATTAATTCATAAGAAATAAAAGACTACCTTCCATAATCAGGTGAAAAATATGCACAGTTCTCTGCACAAAAGGGGGGATTTTATTGCATTTTTCCCACTCTGCCTTTTACATTTATATGAATAGCAAAATGTCAGATTTCACACAATGTTGTTAAACCTTTTCTCAGGTTTGGGGAACTGAAAGTCGTATGTGCCTGTGTAATACTGTGCTGATGCAAATGGTTAAACTTTTCTACACGATTAACCATTATTTTCTCAGGGTATTCTGTTCACAGCTTTCTTCCAGTTTCCTGATACATATTGAGATCCATGCCTGTGCGGCTGATAGGGGTGGCATGGAGGTTGCAAGCTGAAGACCCACCACAAAGCTAAAAAGTCACTCTGATGCAAACTAATTAAATGACAGTATGGCAGTAGGCCGTTTACAGAGGCCAAGGAAGCTGTGGCTTGTCAAAGACATTAACATCCAAATGTGCCAGCAACGGTGCCAAATATACTCTAGGCCTTGCAAACACATAATCCAGACAAACTGAATTACATTGCAACCAGTTTATAATTAATTTGCTTTTGAAAGTTGTGCCATGAGAACAAATGTGCCAACAATTATTTGCAATGAATTGTTCTTAGGGGCGCCCCCAACATAATAATGCATCTGTGAGCAAGAGAGGGTTTGGTATTGGTTACTTGTATTGCCATTGGCTTCTAACCTAATGAGGGGGTAAGGAGAATTCAGAGATAGATTCCAGGAACCTTAACCTTTCTGTCAACCTAATGGAGTCTCCTACCAATGTGGTCAGTGGTGTGGCCCTGTGGCCTCCCTGACCTCAGATGCCAGCCTCACTCTGCCCAAGATGCTAAAATTAGAACCATATTCATCTCGCTGAGGCATTGCCTTTCTGGACACCAACTTGTAAGCACAAATATTCATGGGAAAGGTAAAAACAGTAAGAGACTAAGGCACTAATGCTTCATGTGAATTCAATTCTCAAATCATTTTTCTCTTGGATTTATAAAGCCAAGCAAAGTGTGAGCCCTGAGTACCTATGAACAAAAAACTAAAAGAATGTGAAAAGAAGAAATAATTCTGAAACTTAACATAAAGTGTTACATGCCAACCATTTTTTTTTTCCAGCAAGTCTCACCTGGAAAAAAATTACAGAGAAGTAATTGCAGAGTAGTTGTATACAAGAGGCCTCAGGACCTGGAGCTAATAAGCAACAGAGGTATGATTCAAACTCAGGATTCAAACTCAGGGCTAAGCCAGCAGCCTGGGACTTCCACCGGGGCTTTTTGTATCAACAATGGCCATATCTCATTGCTCCTCACTTTCCAGAGCACAGTGGCCAGAGTGAGACCTGGAGTGTGACTGACCTTTAAACTGGAGCTGGACATCAAAATGAATTCCAGTCCATTCCTATCTGTCACTTTGGAAGACTCTGCTTGAGAGCATTTGCAGCTCTTTAAAATCCAGGCAGAGTGTTATGAGTTCATCTTAATATAGTAGTTCCCTTACAGGGACACATCGTTTCTGATCCAAAATGATCCTTAATCGGCTGATGTTTTACACCAGCCTAGGCACCAAATTACTGCTGGCTATTTCCGAAAGTCAGATCAACCCTCAAAGAGTAGAAGTGTGCTACCATTGAGGGGAGTCACAAGATGCTGCTGCAGGAGAGGAGCAGCTGAAAGGAAAAGGAGCAAAGAGATGCTTAGCAATGGCTTACCAAAGGAAGAATACCTGTAGGCCATTGCTTTGTTTATGCAACAAATATTTATTTCTTACAGTTGTTGCTTATTTATTACAAGCTCCTGCTTGAATATGCTAGGTACTGCCTTAATTAAATAAATATAAATGTGTGTGTGTGCGTGTGTGCGTGTGTGTGTGTGTATGTGTTTCAGATTTAGAAACATGCCCAAGGTCAGAAAGCTAATAAATGGCCAAGGCAAGATTTGAACCCATGTCACACTCTAGTGACACACTCTAGTCCACGATCTTGTAGTACCAACGAGGCTTCTACTTTGGAGGGACATAGCAGTGATGTGTCACAGGAAGTCTATGCTGCATTTTCCTTTCGCTGAGATGCAGCCTAATAGTCTCTGAATGTTTTTCACCATAAGGAGAATGAGAGCTGAGAGTACCTTTCCCTGAAAGGACATTTGTACCATTAAAAGAAAGAGAACTCAAAAAGAATTTCAAGAGGCTTTGCAAAACTGGAATTTCTGGAAGCTTAATTGCAGGATGTACCTTAAAATGCATACACACATAGACATAGACACACACACACACACACACACACACACACACTTTCAGATATTCCTTCTAAAATAACTCAACAGTTTGTTTCAAATCATAATCATGACCTAAGGTCTTTAAAGTTATCTTCAACCATCCAAATAATTCATTCTTGGAGAAGGACATACTTACTAAAAAAAAAAAAAAAGAAATCGAAAATATCATAGAAAGATTCCAATGGAATTAACCAGAACAGAAGGTTCTAGTTGTTAAGCATGTACTACCACTACCACTACCTCTGCAACCAACACTTCTGATGAAAAATGCTAGCAGCTCCCAACGCGACGTACCCTCTGCCACACTCTCTGCTGAATGCTTTATATACATTATATTATTCACTCCTCACCAGTGCCCTGTGAGATAGACATTATTATCCCCATTTTACAAATGAGAAAACTGAGGCTTCAGACATTTCAATGTTACTTGAACAGCCATTAGAATAATAGATATTTACCAAATTTTTTATAAGGTATTATTAATACAATGCTAAGCCCTGTCATGAATGCAAGAAGATACTGGAATTTAAATGGCAAAGATCAAGTCACATAAGAAGTGAAAATTGATGAGGCACATCTAAGCAGGAAGTCTCAAGAGGGCAGGAACCAAATCTGTTTTGTTGCAAGTTGGGTCCCCAGGGCCTGGTACAATATCTGGCCTATAGGACATGCTGAATCAACAGCTGTAGATAAATGTAGAAAACAATACGTAGCAAGTGAGTATATTAGAACTCTCTGAACATATTATCTCCGAAGCATTTGGTTAATCACAGTTCAGGAAGAAAATGGTCCTGACTCTGCGAATACCATTTCAAAGCTCCTTGACCCAGGGTATTTCAGGTAAGCCATAGTTTGATGGTATGTGCCTCTTCTTTTTATTGGGGTCTGGCACCAGAGGCTGAATCAGAAAATCTCCATCTCCCTTTGTCCATATTCTGCCATAGACGCTTCCTCTGCCAATCATTTCATAGTTCCTTTAAGGCGGTACGATATTTTTCAAGCGAATTGATTGGCAAACAGCCACTACCCCAATGCAGGAAAAATGCCAACATCACTCCTAGGTTTAAATGCCTTCAAGGAGACCCTCAAATGAAGAAGTCCTTAAAAGCAATCTGATTTTTTTTCACTCCCCTTTTGTGGGAATATCTTTTACACTAGGTTTAAAGGGAAAAAGGAAAAAATAACAAGAAGAAAATATAAAGAAAAAGAAAACCTGCCTGAAATGAAAAATTCCAATCTTGCCTTTGTAAAAATCCTTCAAGCCCAGTCAGCTGCCCCTCCCCCTTGATCCAAGCCTCTGTGTTTCCCGGCAAAGAGGTTAGAAAGCTGTTGAAAAACATTCTCCCGCTGAATTGAGACTGACATCTGACAGAGCTCGGTGGTGTCCTAACTTGAGTGAATTTAAATGACAAGCTTGGCTTTATAAGTAAGGGATCCTCTTTTACAATAGAACAGCATGATTGCTTCATGGCAGAGGGGGAAAAGAGGGAGAATCAAAGTTTTCTTCAAATCCCCAGCGGTGCCATTGACCTGTCAGAAGGTTGTGACCCACTCCTGTTAATCCATGCAAATCAGATGCCTCCAATTTGTGGTGCTGATTGGAGTACCACACCTTTAAATTCAGGAAGCGGCCTTAGAGTGAGGTTCCGATCACAGAGTTCAGTTCACCTCTCATTTTTTTCTTCTTCAAAAACATGGTGACAGCTGACTTCCTTCCCACCCTGCCCTTACTCAGTCAGGGAAGACTGTCTGATGGTTTCCTGATTAGCATCAAGGCAAAAGCAGCATGTTTTTCATAGGCTAACGCTATTACCTAAATTACAGGCCTGTTGCTCTCAGCATTTTCCCCCCACAGACAGGTTAATATACACATCCCACTGGTATTATCGCTTTGCTAAGTCACCCAATCATTTTTATAACATAGAGGGGTGAAGGTCTGGAAGTCCCTGGAAGAGGCTTCAGAGCCAGTTGAGAGACGTTTACACAACTGGAAACACCATTTTCTGACCATCCCATTCAAAACTTAACAACACTTCCCACGTTCAATGTCATGTGCCGTGCATATTTTAAACCATGGGTAATTTCAAGTAGAAACATTTAGAAAGAGAAAATGACAAAGCTGGTATTTTGGATATCAACAACCTGTGATTGCCCACATGATGTGTACATTAGTCAAGCTGTCCCCCAAGTCATCTTGAACTGGCTACTTAAACAATGTTAAGTGACCAGAATTTTTTTGCGTCGTATCAAGGTAATTCAAAATTCTAGTGAGAGGAGGGATAATTTAAAGGACTTTAGTAAATTTGCATTTTCCAAAACTTGGAAAATAACTACCTTAAAGAATCCCCAAACCATTAACATATCTGAACAATAAATAATTGTAATAACGCTTTGCCCATATTTTAGGAAAAATACTATTCCTAACATCAAAAAAAAACCAAAAAAAAAATAGAAATAAACTCAAACAAAAATATAAAGAAAAACTCAAACTCTACCTAAGAACTTTGTGGTTTTTTGTTTGTTTGTTTTTGAGACAGAGTTTCGCTCTGTCACTCTGGCTGGAGCGCAGTAGCTCGATCTCAGCTCACTGCAACCTCTATCTCCAGGGTTCAAATGATTCTCCTGCCTCAGCCTTCTGAGTAGCTGGGATTACAGGAGTGTGTCACCACACCTGACAGATTTTTGTATTTTTAGCAGAGATAGGGTTTCGCCATGTTGGCTAGGCTGGTCTGGAACTCCTGACCTCAGGTGATCCGCTTGCCTTGGCCTCCCAAAGTGCTGGGATTATAGGCGGGAGCCACCACACCTGGCCAACAATTTTAAAGATATAAATGGTATATAATTCTTTCAAAATAGGAAGACTTTTAAGACATAAGAATATATATATATATATTCTTTCAAGGTAGAAAGACTCAATATAGTACAGATGTCAATTTCCGCAGACTTTAACATATTACTCAACATACTAAAGACATTATTTTAACCAAAAATATGATTCATTCATTCATTCATATACAAGAACAAATAAGCAATAATAGTCATGAAAATGGAGGATGATTATAACATTAAAACACATTATACAGCTATAGCAATTAAAATCATGCTGTAAGAGAATCAAACTAGATTGATCAATCAATGGAACAGAATAGAAAGCCATGCGCCTATATATCCTTAGGTAGGTTGATATTCAAAATAGCAGAACTGACACCTACATTGTCCCTGGCGCTCCAATCTGGAAGACATAACACCACACTTACTCTTTTACATGCACCAGAGAAGACCATTTAAATTGATAAAGAAGGGTCTGAACTGAGGGGGAAGGAGAGGATGAGACACTTGGCAGCAGCTATTTACCAATCGGCATGGAAGCATTTTAAGGTTTACGGCCAGGTGTGGTGGCTCATGCCTGTAATCCCAGCATTTTGGGAGGCTAAGGCAGATCATGAGATGGAGGCCATCCTGGCCATGGTGAAACCCCGTCTCTACTAAACTACAAAAAATTAGCCAGGTGTGGTGGCGTGCTCCTTGTAGTTGTCCCAGCTACTCAGGAGACTGAGGCAGAGGAATTGCTTGAACCCAGGAGACAGAGGTTGCGGTGAGTCGAGATCATGCCACTGCACTCCAGCCTGGTGACAGAGCAAGACTCCATCTCAAAAAAAAAAAAAAAAAAATTTAATAAGGGATGGCTGGGTGCAGCAGCTGATGCCTATAATCCCAGAACTTTGGGAGGCCAAG